CTTCCTGATGGATCTGTCAGGCTTTCTTTAAACTTCAAAAGTGCCTCCCTCTCATTTTTTATGCAATTCACTTGAAGATCACCATGGCACGAGACAAGTTGGATGGTTTTTAGGCAGAAAAATCCTAACAAAAGTAAAAGGGACAGAAGCTGAGAGTGGAGGTTTTGCTTCATGTCTGTAATTGTTTTTTAGCCTTCTAGTTAAATGCAAAAATGATCAGGTTGGGTTATAATATATAAGAATGATGAATCCACCATTATTTTAATTTGACTTTTTTTTTTATCAGCAATATTTTTATTTTACTTGATTGGTGGCGTGAAATCTCATATGCAATAGTTTATTGGCTAATAAAAGAATTTTATTTAATAATTTCTTATAGTTTATTGACTCAAAGAAGGTTCTTAGTCACCAATAATATCAAGATGGACTGACTTTGACTCCTTTTGATCAGAATTCCTGATCCCGCCAACAAGTGGAGAAGAACTTTGACTGAATTATGATTCTAAGGTAGATTTTCCAATTCCAAGTGCGCGATATGAAGAAGGAGAGGCTAAAGCAAAAACCAAAGGAAACTATCCAGGTCAGTCAAACCAAGAAGGAAATCAAACGCAAAGCAATAGTCACTTTCCATGTTTCCATTGTTCCTTTCAGGTCAGTAATATGAAACAAGATGTTTTCTTGAGGTTTGCGTACTTCCGGGTTCTTTCCACGTTTCCATTGTTCCTTTCACGTTAAGGTAAAGAACATTTCATCATCAACTACTTAGTGGAATTAGATCAACTACTTAGTGGAATTAAATTGAGTGAACAGTTCTGAATCACTTTGGTCTCCCACAATTAGTGAAAAAATAACAAATTGATGGTGAATTTTTTAGTTTGTTCATTTCTCAAAATATATGTATCTCGACTGTATGGCATCGACCTCTCCCCTTTTTTTTCTTTCTTTTTTTTTTTTTTTTTTTTTTTATCTTGGTAGCAAGGGAAGTTTCTCATCCCTTCCCTTACTCTACTTTACCTTACCCTATCTCACCTTACTTCATTAGCATATGTGAATTAAACACAAAGTTTTTTTTTTAAAAAAAAAAAAATTACTATTGAGTTATTGAAGTGTTGCTGCATAGAACAAATTTAACGGTTTCAAGGTGGAGGAACCCAAACGGAGAGAATCAGAACAAGCAAAAGAATCCAGAAAGAAGCAATGGTGCCTTCCATATGTGCCGATAGAAGGAAGAATCTCAATGGAGAATGCATTCAAATATATTATGCTATATAGATAGCAAAAAAGCTGCACCTTCGAACCTCAAGTCAATATCTTGGTGCTCAACCATTGTTGGTGAAATCCACAGCTTTCTACAAAAAAATGCAACGACCCATCATTTTCTAGGCACTGTTTATCTAGTTTCTTTCTTGTGCATCAAAAAGGAAGCGACTTTTGTGCCAATTAGAAAGCACTAAGAAGTTTTCTAGTGCTCAAAACAGGGCAAGACGTAGACTTCTCTATCCCACTTGATTAATTAAATTATATATCGCATCTGATCCTTTGAGTTAATTGGTATTCTGTCACTTTAAAGTGTTTTTTTTTTTCCCTTAGATGAGTTTCAAATTCGTCTTTGACAACTTATTTAAAAAATAAATAAATAAATAAATAAATTATGTGTCATTCCCTGTAGAATTCTAGCAAGGCTGCTGTTTTTTATTCATGGCGGCTTTTCCAAGGCAAAAATGGAAAAACGTCAAATTTCTGAGACGGGTCATATTTCGGGTCCGGGCCGGATGTAACCAACCTGGCCTGGTGCTGGTAATAGTAAAAAGTTGAGATATTTCAAGGGAAGGAATGAACAGTTTCGTGTTTATTTATTCCCGCCAAGGAGCTGCGTTTTAGTATCCCTTGGGCAGCCACCGAGCGCAGCGCAGCCCAGATGCGTCGTGCGTCCTCCATGGTAGCCCACCTTCGCCAGTCATCACCTGCCGCGTGTGAACTACCTGCAGTGTGTTCCGTAACCTCTCCTCTTTCAACCTCTCTAACTCAAAATCCTAACGCAACCGCGGTTGCCTCTCTGATCAATCTGAACCTAAATTACAATAGCCCCACTTCCAATCGGAGGGAAAAAAAAATGTGCGGGAGGAATATTAAGCTGGTGAGCCATTGATTTTGGCATTAGGTTTAAAGAGTTTAAAGCTGGTTTAAGGTTTGGCATACATAGAAGAAAATAAACTCATGAGATAAATTACATGTAAACGTATGGAGTTGTATTCACCATTCAAAAACAATTTTACATGATCATTTCTCTGTTTTCTGAATCAAATGAAAATTTTGTTCATTATTCTTTGAAAATATAAATATGTATGGAAAGAATAGGAACAGTCAAACAAAGTTGTATTTCATCACTGTTATCTAACCTTATCTGCTTTAGAATTGTTAAAAGAATGTATAACTGAGGGAAAAGTGTAAACCCACAAAAAGGAAAAAGAAGATGACAAAAAGATGTTCTAGATTAGACTTCAGTGGTCCTTTTTGGATCTTGCTAGATGAGGGAAGGCGGTCAAAATGTTGCATGCTCTTAAATCCTGCCTGGTTAAGATTCCCACCACCGGAGAAGCCTGCAAATGGAACACAGATTCAGGTAATCATACATCTAATTTCATCTTACGTTCAATTCTTCAAAGGATGAAACTTACCCCTGCTGCTTGATACTTTGGCACTATGAGCAGATGCCGGAGTCCAACTTGCCGAAATAGCACCATAGCTTTGGCCACTGACATGCTTTCCACCACTGTGTAAGGAGTTGCATTGGCAAGAGGATGTAAATCAACATACATATCCATTTCATTTTGCGTCACTGCCACCTCTTCAATCTTCGCCTCCCTTTCAGCTAAATCAACCCAGTTGAATTTCTCCCTCACTTCCCAGTCCTCTGTCTTCCTCCTTTCTGTCAGAAACCATTTCTTCTTTAGTGCCTGAAGCAGATGAGCTCTGAGAATCAGTCCATGCAGCGCCTTTTCTACAGGAACTACAAATCCAGGTGGTACTGCACCTTCATCAACAATGGGGAAACCATTGTGTGTTGTGTTCTTCAGAACATCGACAATGCGAGATACCTTTTCAATTCCACTGAGGGCAACCACCGGTGGCTTGGCATCAGCAAGTTCACCAACAGTAAGATTTCTCATCCAAGGCTCTGGATTTGCGTCCAGGAAAGGCAGGCCTTTAAGTTCCAGTATAATTTCATAGATACTTGGATTAAAGCTATCTCCAACTGTTTTGGCTATCAGAAGGACCATCATTGTTATGGGCAGCAGAAGAAGGTTGTTCGTAAGCTCAAGGAAGATTACACAAAGTGACACTGTCATTCTCATCGAGCCCGCCATGAGGGATGCCGCACCGAGAACAGCATAGAGCCCCTGGTCAATGTGGGTGTAGGAACCCATGGCTATCCCGAGCAGGCGGCCATAAGCTGACCCAATGAGGATGATTGGAAGAAACAGACCGGTGGGTACAGCAATGCCAAAAGTAAAAAGTCCCAGTATACAAAAGAGTGCAAAGAAAATCAGCAGAGAAGTCATAGTGTACTCCGAGGGAGTATTGGTGGAGAAGACGTTCCTGACAGCATCATCGTTGGTCGTTAGGAGGAGAGTGGCTAGATCATTGTAGTACCCATCTGGGCAGTTGAACTGCTTGAAATTCCCTGACCGCCCATTGGTTGGACAAGCTTCTGTAATGGAGGGATCACAGGCTCTGCATTTGGCCAGAAAAGGGAGACAGTATTGACACACTGATGTAAAAAGGGCAACACTCAGACCCAGAAATAGTTTGTGTATTTTCCCCTTCCTGCAAACAGACGAATGATTAATTTCCCAAGAAAATTTTCAGCCTTTGAAGAATTTAGCTTAGGAAATTGGTTTCTGAGGCATACTGGTTAATGATGCTGTACAGGCTGAGGACCTTGTGAAGAAAGTAATTGTAAAGGCTGCCCAAAACTCCTCCAATGATGCCAATTATAGTAACAGGGATGATATCCAACACATGATACCTTACCACAACATCGCTGACATCAAACATGATGAGTCCTCCCGACCCAAAGAGACCACAATTTCCTGTACTGCAGATTTCAATGAACAATCTGAGCACAACCACCACAACTGCTGTGCTGAAGAAGGTTCTCCAAAGAAGGGCACTCCTCCACCATGTGGCAACTTCTTCTAGAGCAAACAGAACACCACCCACTGGAGCACGGAAAGCTGCACAAACGCCAGAGGAAGTACCGCTGGTGATAATGTCTCTGCGGTCACGGTCATTGTTGAAGTAACGGAGCCAGCGCCACTTCAGGCGGTAGTTGTCTGGCCCCCCTTGGCCTAACAAAGAAGCTATGCAACTTCCTATGTGTACTAAAGGCCCTTCTTTTCCTAAATCCAGTCCAGCTGAGACGGCTCCAATGCTGCCAATGATCTACAATTACAAAAACATTTCAGGCTGACCATTCTGGATCAATTCTAGATCTGAGTAAAATCCTCATATAAAAGATAATATTGTTAAAATAAAAACCAGAGTAATTGGATCTGGAATCATTTAGACCTAATTGAAACAACTAGTGGAATTTGTATAAAAAATTATATTTGGAAGTTGACAGACCTTGACAATTAATGTTGAGGCACCAAACATGTTGGGAGTATCAACACCATTAAGATATGCCTTGATTTCAGGAATGCCAGGACCGGCAGCAGTGGGGGCAAACCACACACAGAGAACTGCAGCCACGGTGGTCAAAATCAAATTGGCTCCGGTGAAGTATGCAAACCCGATGACATACCTGCATAAAGTTTCCTAGCCACATCAAAATTGAATTCAGAATTCAGATTTTTTTTGTTTTTTCTAATAGGCTTGGAAGGTGTTCCATGTTTTGCAACAGAAGCTGAAAATCCACCACACCTTTTCTTCTTTATGAGATGAACAACTGCAAGAAGCTTGTATCCGGCAATGTTCTCAACTGCAAGATTGATAAAGGTTGCAATCAAGCCAGTGAGCAACCCAACAAGAAAAGCCAATTTCCATTTCAAGAATATATACTGAAAAACTTGAACTTTGGATCTGCTTCTCCAATCATGCTTGAAAATGTCATTTTCATTGATCCTGCATTAAACCCAACTCGATTTCTACATAAATAAATTGTGGCAAGAATGAACAAAGATCATAGAAAGAAAATAAAAGGGTTATATTACTCATAATCCAAGCTTTCTATGTGGGAAACCTTGGCTCCAACCAAGGCCAAGGGATTGGAAGAAAGTGTTCTGTTTCTCTTTAGGAGAGGCTGATGCAGTGAATTGCTTTCTGGGTCTCTTTCTTCTCCATCCATCATGTTGTGTTGTGATTCTGATTTCTCCAAATGGGTTGAGTCATCCTCCATTGAAAAGAAGAGAAGAAGTTGCAGAGACAAGTAGAAGAAGATAAAAGGGAATATTTGGAAATGCTGATGCTTTGTTGTTGGGTTTGGATGAGCTTCCTCTGCTATGGGATTTCAACATCTAAAGAAACTTTCTGTTGATTACTAAATCACACACTTGCA